AAATGGATGTCCTCTTACCCCAGGAACTCTAATGAGGAGCAGCATTCAGGGAAGCTGAATCCAAGGAAGAGGAGCTGCAAGCCTGGCTTTCCACTTCACTGACAGATCAGGGTTCTTTGAGGCAGCTCTTGCCTTTTCTGTGACCATTTGCCCCAGCCTCAGATGCTCAGATGACCATTTGCCAGAAGGGTGATTTGTTTCCATGGTGAACAGCTCAGTGGAAGGTGCTGGAGCCTGAAGGGTGCTTAGCCTTAGTTGCTGCTGCTGCTCCTCCTCTCCCAGCACCCTACATATCTGGTGCTTTCTAAGTAGCTGGCATTCCTCCTTCTCAAGGGAATGTCCCTCCTGCTTCCACAAGCAGTGGAGAAGAGGAATTTCTGCAGCTTCCTCTCCTGTCTTATTTCTGAGCTCTGTTTCAGCACCACAGACAGCGATTGGCAGAGAGATCCAGGAAGCACAACAAGAACAGTGAACAGAACGGGAGACAGTGTTTCCCATTAATTGGAGGGACACATCAGAGGGCAGGCAAGGACTGCCTTGACCAAGATAGATGGGGATTAATCAACCATCCCCATTTCAAATTAAATATTAGCAATTGTAGCTTGGAAAATAATATGCTCCTGGACAGGACATATAAATCTTGTTGAATATAGAGTTAACATAAAGGCACATTGTTTTCATCCTACAAAAGAGAGCAAGATGGCAATTTGTGCATCATCAAGGATGACCTGAGTGTTCCAGGTATTGACTTAAAGGCTGGATTCGCAAATCACACTAAGCCATTATGTGGTTGGGTAGTTCTGACTATAAAAGTTTCCAAACTGTATAGTTAGTCCACTATATTTTATGACTTAGCATATTGTGCATCTCTGCTAATAGTGGCTTATTCAACAAACCATAGGCAAGTAAATCATGGTTTAGTGTGATGTGTGAAAGTTGGCATTTCTATAGTATATTATCTCTGGGTTATCCTTCCCTAGTCAGATCCCCTACAGATGTGATGAGCTACACTCTCAAAATAGTATGGAGCTGACAAAGGCTACAGTAGACTATGTGGTTCCAGTAAGTACCATATGGTGATTGCAGGATGCGGAACTCACAAAACAACCAAAACTTACCATATCAACATTAAAAATACTTCCAGAATTTTTGCAACTTTACATAAAGTATGGTTATATGTTGAAATATTAACACAACCCATTCACCACAGAGATCTATTCAGCCTGCATTTACCACTATGCCTGTTTTTTTATGGAACAAAAGGGACTCATCAAAGCAAAATATCTATTCTTCCATCCAAACTAATGAAATCCACCCCTGAAGTTCATCTTTTCCCGGACAAGATCTTTTTATATATGTATGCAGGTTCACCTATATATTTATTTATGTTCACACTAGTCACAGCCCAATTATATTGCAAATGCTTATAGGTAGATTTGGTTCCCTAAAAAAATCCTGCATCAAAGAGCATTTCAATTATGCTTTCAGAGCTTGGTGAAGTTCTTGCCGGAGCTTGGAGACCTTGGAGAGTTTCTTATCTGAGATCCTAGAAAGCTTCTCTAAATCAAGTATATAATATACTATTGGACAATATTCATCAGTATAATACCCATTACACTGATGGACAACATTCTGAAACAGGCCAATCTTCTCTAGCCAATTATTATCCATATATGTTGAACTTAAAATTGCAAAATCCATATCAGGAGGCTCCAGATTGGGGAATACAGTATAAACTGCCAGCAGAAATAGTGTAATTCAAATTCAAACTGGAACATTTAAGCAGCAGCAGCACATTTTCATTACTAATTTATCTGTCACATTTGCTTCTGTCGCACTCTTCTTCCATAGCAACTTACAGGTCACATTAAAATATGGTTTTTAAAAAATCACAAGAAGCAAGGTCTTCAAGATTCATTCTATGTGGCAGGTAAGAGTAGAGGGTCCTTAGGCAGAAAGAAATAGTCTGATGGAATCAGACCTTCTGCTTAGTGTTATTCTTGTCTGCCTTTTTCCCACATGACAAATACCCTACAGGACTGGAAAAAGCACAGTTGGAGCAGGCCCCGATGCCACCTCTCCTACTTCTACATTTGCTTCAAAAACAATAATACAGCTTCTTTTTATCTCTCCTTTCTTTACAGTGTCAACATTTAGAACCTGAATATGTCTACATATAAGGAGGACTTACCCATGGGGGAGACAGGCCAGCAGGTAGACACACATAGGAATATTTGACATGACTGAAATATGCACCTGCTATTTGGAACTCCCCAAGAATATTTTTGATGTTCATTTTTGTATGCTCAGTGATCCTTTTTCGTTGGAAGACAATGAAGGAGTCAGTTCCTCCTCTATCAAATTTGTACAAATGTGATTGGCAATTTCTAAGATGGTCTCTTGTTGCTGGACTACCATTGGCATTTGAGATTCTTTGCAGTGAACTTCTGAGAAGCCAATCAGTTCCAGTCCAACTGGAAAGCATTGCTGGAAGCTCAGTGAAAGGGACTGTACACAACCTCATGAGCTGGTTGAAGACATAAAAGGACAGCCACCTCAACCTGATACTCACCAAATGTATTGGGACAGGAATGGAAGCAAGTTGGCTAAAAAATGGAAAATGTAAAACAAGAAGAACATGTAGATAATAGCATAAGGAGTATCCAGACAGTTTTGGAAAAATCTGCAATAAATTCTGGCTGAGCTGATGAGTTGGCATGATTCCCTCATGGTCTCAAGCTGGTGGAAAACAGTTCTTATCTGCTCTCAGTGTAAATATATTTAGGCTGTTGCAGGTGCAAGGAATCTTCTTGAAGAACAAACGTGTGCATGTGTATGATATCACCCGGCTTAGATATTTATTATTCCTAATGAATTACATGAAAATTATTTAAACAAATATGCATACAGGAATCATATATATTCTGTTCATATTTTCTCTTAAGTCCCTTTTCTCTTGCAGAGAAATGCCCAGTGTTCATTGTTAAAATAAAGTCAGCTTAACCCTTGCTCAAGTGTTTGGTTTTTCCCTGGAAAGACTACTTATTTCCTGACATAGCTCCCATGGTTCCCAGTCAGGATCAGGTTAGAATAGGCAGTATTACATGTCTAAACTGAGAATAATAATTCTGATAGAAATTATCAACATGTACCTCACTGGCTGATTAGGTCCAGCATTGCATATCACACATTTAGATCCTGAGAAAGTTCCAGTAGGCCACATCTGTTGTTGACTCAAGGTAGTTTCTTGTTTCAGGCAACCTGGCATACAACTCTGAGAAAGAACATGTTTTTCACACATGTTGTTATAGCAGGCTTTTTTCCACTAAACTCTGCTGAACTTTCTATATCAGCTTTCCCTGATGCAGCCCCTAATAATAGACAGGAAACAATTCTTATCACTCTCAGCCAGCATTACTATGCTGCCCACCTATAGTGGTCTTCAATCTATCCAGAAGCTCCAGACTGGGGAAAGTTATGCTACATGAAAGTATTCTGAAATGAATGATGGGGAAAACATTTCTAGGGTTCTCTGTTCCTTTTTAAATAAGCCCACTAGGAAACTAAGAAAAGAGGTTTATCTTTGCTATAGTTATTTTTGCTTCATCAAAATAGCTCTATAACTTTATCAGTTCATCAAAGCTATTGATGAAAGGACCAGAAAACTGCCAATGAACTGATCTAGACCACACATCATACTAAACCGATAGGGAAGAAGCTTCAACATTACACTACAGCACAAACCATGATTTTCCACTCCAATGTCTGGGTCCACAGACACATTAAGCCAAACCCTAACAAGCAGTGTTATGGTTAACTGCAATGTCTAAGCCCCATCAGAACTGTTCACATACAGAAAATAAGAGAGAAATAATGGACCTAAATGGAACCTGTTCTTTCCTATGTTTGAGCGAAGTTTCTCTGAGTTGCACAGAAAACTGATATGCTGGGCAGAGATGGGAAAATGCAAGAAAGGCAGGAATTACATATCATATACCATGGTTTGTTGAACATATCACAGTTGTTAAATTAGCATATAACACTGGGCTTTGAATCCTGTTTTCCAATCAATGGCTGGGTTCACAGAACATTGTAAGCTAAACTCAAACAGATCACAATATGGGCTACCAGAGTGTATGAACCTATCAATGTGATGACTGCCTTGCTCATGTTGATGGCCCTGAAGCTCTGAACTTTGCAGGTTTCAAAAAACAAGCCTCACTGAGCCAAAAAGGACTTCCTCTAAACTTAGTATACCAGGATTTGTAGACTACAGGTCTTCTATATTTTGTTGCTTTTTGTCTTTTTTTTTTTAGTGAGGAGTCCTTGGTGCCCTCTGAGCTTGATTATTTTCTTGCAAATCTTTCAGCTAGGTAACATCTTCAGTGCAAGAAGGGAGTGGGGTTTGCTCTCTGTTTATATACAGTGGCTTGCCCTGCCAGTGTGGGTGGGGGTGTGGGCTTTTTGTTTTGGTTTTCTTGGTAGTTCCTTGATTGGGGTATTGTTTACTGCTTGATTCTTTGTCTGATGTTAATCTTGGTGTTAATCTCTGTTTTTATGGGTGATGATTGATGGTGAGGAGATGTTCTGGTCTTCTGTTTTCTTTTTATTGTCTCTTTTGAATCGTGTGTACAAACTATTCAAGGAATTACCAAAAAAAAACCCCACACTCCCACCAACACTGGCAGGGCAAGCCACCGGATATTAACAGAGAGCAAAACCCACTCCACTCCACCAATGAAGAGGTTACCTGGCCGGGGGATGAAACATTTGCAAGAAAACAAC